AGGTGCTGGCCGTCGCGGAGCACATCCCATTACGTACAACGGTTCGTCCTGGGGGTCGGGCCGCGAATGTGTGGAAATATTGCAATGTGGTGTTCAGGTTGTTGCAGCACAGGAGCTTCGTATTGATGGGGACGAAGCCCGTCGTGCTGAAGGGTGGGCAGTTCTGAATGGCTGGAATGCGATTATCTCTTCTTGCAGGCGCTTGAAGTCTGGGCGGCCTTCCGCTGGGGGTTGGACTCTTTGTCAGGCGCCACATCAGCGTCACGACCTTGCCTGGGTCCTCGAGTGCGCCTGGGTCTTTCGAGCTGGCGCCGAAGTTGTGCGTCGCGTGCCACGCCGACTTCGGCGTCAAGGGCGGGCTGATCCTTGTGTCCGCCTACTTCGAAGTCGGCAAGTGGGTGGACGTCAACTCCTACAGGCTGCACGACATTGCCCTGGCACTGCGCGGCTGGAACAGGCCCTTCGCCATGGCCGCTGGCTGGATCTGTGATCCCGTGGCACTCCTGAACCACGGCTTCCTGGATTGCATACCCGCCAAGGCTGCCGCGCGGCCTCGCGGTGGAAACATCGGCACATGTCGCAGTGCGCACGGAAACTACAGCCACATCGACTATTGGTTGGCCGGCCTCTCGATCTCGGATGCCATGTCGGAGCCGCAGCCTGCGCCCGGTTGGCCTGCGGCCCCCCACTTCCCCATGGGTTTGCTGGTGGGGAGGAGGAGGAGAAGGAGGAGGACGGGCAGGATGAGGAGGAGGAGGAGGAGGACGACAAGCAACAGCAGGAGGAGGAGGAGGAGGTGGAGGAGGAGGAGGAGAAAGAGAAGGAGGAGGAGGGGGGACGCCGGGTCGTTGGGCAACCGGCAAGTCGGGCAGCCCGCGCCTTGCTCCGCGGTCGCGGAGAGGGCAGCTCGCAGGCGGCGACGTATGAGCCGCAGGCGATGTTTTTCGGCCCCCGACTTTGCGGCCTGGCGGGGGGAGGGGCGGGCGCGCAGCCCGCGGCATTGCGACCGCCCGAAGCGTGCGAAAGAAGGAAGGAGGAGAGTGGGAGGAAGGACCACGACAACGGGGACGAGGCTGGAGAGCACCTCAGCCTTGCCTGGAAAGCGCCAAAGGTTCAGGTGGCTGAGAGATGTTGCACGGATCGGAAGCGTCGGAAGCGAGAACGATTTGGGACGACTGCGGCTGATGGAGACGACTTGTTCAGCCTAGAAGTTCGCTTCATCCAAGTCGGGGGCGGCGCGATGATCTCTCGGCATCATGATGGAGTGCACCGAACTGCAGACATGGTCGAGTGTTGCCCGCATGCTTTCAAGGTTACCGATGCTGGATTCCACCACTGTGGCCAACGGCGTCGTGGAGGCTGCACCCATGCGGGATTCAGAGAGGACGATCCCATGTGAATAAAGCCGTCAAGTCGCATCTGCTCAGATGTGACTTGAAGCCTTTATTCACAGGGAACGCCTCCTGTGCGAAAGCGGTGGGACTTGAGCATGGTCGGCCCGCAGCTTGTCAGGTTGGGCAAGTTCAGCACCACTGGCTTTCCCAAGACGGCGCCGCAGGATCCGCCAGGCCACTCAACATGTTCGCCAGACATTCGAGATGTTCGACATTAGCGAGCCCAACGGCGCGGCCGCATTGCTCTTCTGGCGTCGCCGCTTCGTTATTAGAGGAAGTGTTTTGGGCACTCAGCCTGAAAAATCCTTGAATGAATGTTGCAAACATATGAACTTTTGAAACCACTTCCTGCCCCCGTTTTCCCCCCACTCGATGTTTCGCTGGGCATTGCCTCCCCCCTCCTCCCCCCCCATCTTCCGCCCCCTCACTGGGACCCGGCGAGGGCCCCCCCGAGGCCGAAAACGGGCGAAAATTGTCCGTGGTGATTTTTGGTTCATTGTTCGAGCATGCTTGGGTCCTCTTCTCTCCGCTACTCCCCAGACCTTTCCCAGGGTGCGTTCTGACCAGACTTGCCCAGCGAATCCACCCATGGCGACGAGGGCCCTCCCAGCAGGCCCAGAAATCAAGGGAGGAAGAATACCCGAATTCGAATAAACTGTATTCACTAAACCGCCCTGGGCGTTCACTGAACAGTCCTGTCCTGTTCGATTCCCTCTTTGGGTGCGTCTACTCAAAGGCTTGGCTCGTCGGGCTGCTTATTATGAGGGTGGGTTCGCTGATTTCCAAGAAATGGGGGCGGTACAGTGGGGGTGCGCATCAAGAAACCATCTGATTTTCGTCAGGGCATCCTGGGTTTCTTCGCTCCGCGAGCTGCGCGGTGAATCCCGCAGCCGTTGAAGGAGCTGGTGCGCTCAGGGTGCTCTGGGAATCCCCTCAGATGCACCTCGCGCGTGGGTTTTCAGGGTTGGGTTTCTTGCGAGGGTTTCTTGCGGCCGCGGCCGCACTGTAGCCCCGAGAGGCTCGAGTCCGGCCAGCTGGCCCTCTCGGACCTCAGCGACAGCGAGCGCGAGGACGAGGACCTGGTGCTCGCGGCCGAGGCCGCCGCCGCCACCTCCTCTCGGGCCGGACGAAAGGGGGGGGATTGGGAAAGGGGGGGGTACGAAATTTGCTGCATGCAGCTGGTTTCGGCCCCGCCGCTGGGCCCATTCCTCGATGCACGGGCGCCTCCCGGCGCCAGGAGGCGCCGGGAAATCAGCAACGCGAGCTGATGCCCAAACCCCCTTTGCTATCCCCCCCTTTCGCCCGACCCGATCCTCGCATCCAACGGCGGCCACGATCCGTTATTTCACGGACTACGGTGCATATGGCCGTGCCCTCACCCTTGTCTTGGCTGCATCGCTTGCTGCTAGTAGGATGCTTTGCTGGGGCAGGCTGAGCGTGGCAATTGCTTCACACCGGGCGGCTGTGCCCTCTCTCGGGCCCCAGGACCCTCGCAGATCGATTCCACCCGAAACATGCAGCAAAGAGACAGGGCTGAGGGTTCCGGCCGTGGTTTTTGACGATGTCGAATTTTCCGCGAAGTCGGATCTCATCGTCTCCGACGATCTGATTATGAAGAGGAGGAGGAGGAGGAGGAGGAGGCCCAAAAGGCAGAACGAAACCGTGGCGCTCAGCAAAGCGCGGGCCAACGTGCCCTGGCCAACGGCCAAAGTGGCCAACGGCCAAAACCAAGGGCACACGCGCAAAAAGAGGGAATCACGGGCACAAGCTGGGACCTGACCTCCGGCCTCCTTTCCTTGACTAACTCCCAATAGCGCCAGAAACGCTGTGCCTTAGGGAAGAAATCAAGAAAAAGAAAGCAAACCAAGGACCGCCCTACACCCCGCGTCAAAATGGCGCATGGGGTTCGGGATCGGCGCCCAAGGGACAATACACGGAGCGTTGCCCAGCGCCCGCACCCTCACAATCACGGCAACAGTGTGCCCGCGGCAAGGAGGAGGAGGAGGAGAAGGACGAGGAGGAGGAGGAGGAGGAGGAGGAGGAGGAGGAGAGGGAGGAGGAGGGGGTGGAGGAGAGGAGAAAGGGAAGAGAGGAGGAGGAGGAGGAGGAGGAGGAGGGGTTGGAGGAGGAGAAGGAGGAGGAGGAGGAGGAGGAGGAGGAGGAGGAGCCACAGCCACCGCCGAAGAAGCCAATGGCCGGCCAAAACAAGAAGCGAGCTTGCTGGCCACGCGCGGCGGGCGGGCTTCCGGGCGCTCTCGCCCCCATATGGGGGCCGAATCATCGCGGCCGTCTTTGGGCCCCGGACGATCAAGCATGCATGTAGGACCTCGCGACGTTCCGGTGGTTCATGTCTAATTCTTCGAAAGTGAGTTGATTTCTGGGGGGGGCAAGATCTTTTCATTTCTAAGTCTGCTATCTTGGGCCTCGTCCTGGCCACTAGGGGGCCAGTAACAATTAGAAACATTAGGGGGCCAGGAACAATTAGGAACCAGGGGGCATGCAGGACTTCGCGGTGCTCCAATTGTGTATCCAGGACTACAGTCGGCCCTGATGAGTAAGTCGACCCTGCCAAGTCAAGGGTACCCTTAGGTGCCCTTGTGTCATGTGCCTCGCAGCCCATGCCTCCTACATCCCCATTGCAATGTGGCCCTCGGAAGGGTCTTGTGTCCTCCCGCGTGTCCTGTCCAATCAAGGCCGACTGTATCAAAATTGCATCCAGGACTTTGTTCGCAACTTCGGGTTCCCCGACGATCTGATGTCGTCAATCCCGGCGCTCTTCCTCGCTCAATTTCGGCCTCCGGAGGCCGTCTCGCGGCCTCGAATCTGTCAAAAATCCAGAACGAAAGCTACGATTCCTGGGGAAGGGGCCAGGGCGTCTGCTGGGATGACCGCAGGGGATGTTATTGGGATAGTGGGGGGCACAAGCGGATGCCAAGGTGGCTTTAGCTGCCCCAGCCTGGTTTAGAAGTGGGTTTGCGAATGCCCCACGTGGCTTCGGAGTGCTCGATACACCCTGTATCCCCTTAGCAACCCCCGCGGTCATCATAGTGGGGCCGCGCACTGGAAAAAACACATGTCGCCGCGCCGCTTGTTCTGACGCGCGGCCCTCCGTCTTGGGGAGGACGCCTCGGCTACCAGGGCAAACTCCGCCTCGGACACAAGTCTCGCCGTTGGCATTGTCGCGGTGTCAACTTCGTCGATTTGGGCGCGTTCAGAACAAATGGCGCGGCGACACATCCCCGCCCGGCCCCCCCTCCCATTTCTTGGGGCGGATGCAAGGGAGGGGGTGGGGAATGGGGAAGGGGGGGTACGAAATCTGTTCATGCAGCTGGCTTCCGCTCCGCTGCAAGTGGCCGCGCATAGGCCGCATTCAGGCATCTTTTCTTGTTTTTTCGATCCGTTCCCAACCTTGAGCCAAAGCACCCGACAGTTTTTGTCATCCGGATGGCTGCTGTTTCGGTGCCCCTGGGCAGCCCGGACCTCGGCCTGGACGACATGGACGCCGATCCCGAGAACTCTGGCGCCACGCAGGGCATGGCGGCCTTACACATGGAAGCTGCCCCTGGTCTTCAGGTTGCCGCTCCGACATTTCCTATTCCAGCTGGCGTAGTCGCGGACCTGCAGCTTGGCATAGACGCGGACCCGCAGTTGGCCCAGACAATGGCCGAGCTGGACGCCATCGAAACCGACGAGGGCGACGGGCTTCCGGCTCCGGGAGCTGGCTCGACCGCGGCCGTCCCGCCGCCTGTTCGGAGCCGCGCTACCGAGGTTCTCGCGACGCTGCTGAAAGAGTGGTTCGAGCACGAGATCCCCCAGCACTTCGAACTGGTTCAGGCGAACGTCGATGCGGACCCGGCCTTGGCCGCACCGCCGTTCAAGTACCCGGAATGTTGGGACGACCTGCTCCTCATCTTGAAGCGCTTGGGCTACCACTTCGACGCCCAGGACCATTGGGAGGTATTGGGTTTTGCCAGGCTCGACGGCCCCGACCCCACTACGATCGGCCTGGCGGCTCGCGAGCGGGCTGCGCGCGAAGTGCTTTCTCTTGCCATGCACGCGGAGTGGAACGACGCCGACCAGCAGCAGGCACAAGATGGGCTTCACAAGATCTCTCAGGCGGCCGCCGCCTGCGAGAAGGAGCTGCCAGATGTACTTGCCGAGCGCCGCCGACTGAAGCCCGCGAAGCTCCCGAACTGGGAGGAGCTGGGTAAGGACGCGCTGGAGCTGCTCAGGAAGAACTCGATTTCGCCGGAGATGATCATGTTCACACAGTGGTCGCACATATTGCAGGCCACTCCTGCCCCGGAGTCGACGCTGCCGCTCGCCCGCGCATTCGCGTCGCTCGCTGAGAAGGGTGACGACCGTATGTGGGACCTCGTGAAGGGCAAGCACATCTGCATGTGGGCCCCCAGGGACCCTAGTGCGCTCTCTCGCTGCCTCGCTTCCTTCATGCGCCGGATCCCGGAGAACCAACGGCCAGCTTCGCTGCAGATTCTTTCAACCTTTCCTTGCGAGAAGGGCACGCACTCGGTCAGCAATATCACGGATCTGTGGAGTTTCCCCCCCTTGTTGTCCGAGCGGTGGATGCCTATCGTTCGAGGGGTCTCTTTTGCAGCATTCCCCTTCGAGATGGTCACGTCCAATGCCGCCAGCGTCCCCCGGCACGAGTTCAAGGGCATTGCCATCTTCACGCTATCGCACGCGATGCCCAGGAGCGTCCCCAAGATGATCAGCCCTGGCGCCATCCTGACGGTCGGCGACTACGACGCCTTCACGTTCGACATGCACGTGGACCATCTTTCGCAGTTCCTCGCGCTAGCTCACACGGACGGCATGCGCGATGCGTGCTTCCGCCATCACCGCCGGAGCCCAACCAGCTCGAGCGCATCGCCAAGAGTCGCCATTGATGTGATCTTCCGACCACGGCCACGCTTTTGGACCAGACGATGCTCTTACAGAGCCTCCGCCGGCGCCTCCCGCACAACGACACTTTCTATGGCAGCAAGTCCCTCATGAGCGATTCGGACGCGATGATTTTGGGGTGCAACGGCAGCGGCTCAGCGCATCATTTCTGGCCGATCTGCTCGCAGATGCTCGCTCTCGACTCCAAGCGCTACCTGGTCGTCACGGCGGCCTCCGCCGACACGTGGACAAAGGTCATGGATAAGGTGCACCTGGCTGACAAGATGAGCGCGGCGACCAGGCTCAAATGGAAGGCTTCGCGTAATGGAGGTCGCGTGGTCGCCACCCCGTCAGCGACCGCAGCTATGCTCAATGCAGACAAACGCCGAGGCAACAAGGCCACCCACCTCTCCGAACATATCGCCGAGATCGTCGCGAAGGGCGAGTTGGGCAAGGACGATTCGGTCGCGCTGAAGCTCTTGATGGACCACGTCTGCCAAGCGACGGGCGCACAGTTCACTGAGGCCTCTAATCCAGACGCGCCCCAGCCGGGAGAGTATTATCACTTGGCCTCACGGGAGCCACACGCGCCCGCTGGCGTGATCAAAGTTCTAGCCAGGAGCCAGGAGGACAATCGCAAGCTCTATGCGGCACTCCACGGCCAGGCCATCCAGGTGGGCAGGGACCTCGTCGGCATCGAGGTGAAGAACGACCTCATGTTGACCACGCGCGGGAGGGGAAACGGCACGCGGGCGCGGAACTAGGTGTCCGCCGTGCCCCGGATCACCCTGGACATCCGTCGCAGCCAGGCGGCGATTTGGGAATTCGCTTCACCGATTGCATGGGCTTCTCGGGCTACGCCGTGTGGGTCGTCTTTCGCCTCCGCGATGCTTCTGCTTCGTCGAGTCGCTGGGGCCACTTACCGACGCCGTCGAGCCGTTCCCCGACGTTTTCTTCATCTGCGTCTCGTTCTCGCTCGCCCTCCCGCAGGACCGTAACTGACAACGACCGCTTATTGCCTCTCCTTCCGCCGCTGACCATCAATGAGTGCGATTTGACCACCGCCACGAACGAGCCCGCCAGCGACGTGCCCGCTTGCATTCTTCGACGCCAACGGCTCCTTCGAGCACTCGGCGCCATCAGCCCCGACGCGATCCTCCCGCCGCTGGTCCGGGCACCGCGGGCGGCGCAGCCCTCCGCAGCC